CGATCTGTGAAAGATCCTGTAATAGGTTAGCATTGAGCAAGCGGAGACAACATTGGCAATCATACCTTGACGTAGTTGCCCTGGTGGTTGTAGCAACTTTCGCGGAACAGCCGGTGGTGAACAACGCCGTGGATGTCAAGTTGGTCGAGAAGGGGGTCACCGTACTAGTATCGTCAGTATGAAGCATGTGTTTGTGAGTCCATCGTGTGCTTACCTTTGAGACGGACGCGGTGAACACGACGACCTCGTAGAGCTCGCCAACCCTCTTCATAAACTGGTCAACGCCTGGTCGCTTGATGACATACACGTTGTGGTATTGGCCTTCAATCTCGACAGGGATGGTGAAGTCGGCTTGGTGCAGAATCTGGCTACGTTAGCAAATCGAAGCAAATACAGCGGCAGTGGAACATACCTTAAAGCTGCTGTGGACTAAAGTCTCATCCAGGTCGAGAACCAGGCACTTCTTTCCTTGGAACCTGGGTGCGATAGGTCCCAAAAGGTACTTCTGTTGCTCTGCCGCCTCCGCAACGTCTGCGGTCTGGTGCTGGACAGCGACCTGTCTCTCTGCCAGCGGGGGTGGTGGAGGAAGATCGACCTTGGGGTGCTCGGCCTCGGCCTCTGCGCTTGTCTCCTCTCCCTCTTGATGAACATCATTAGTCGATAGCGGCACATCTTTCATCTCAATGTCGTTGTCGATCTGCTTCTGCTCCTCGGTCTGATCCTGTATTATGCGCTCTTGCTCTGCTGACGGCCGAGGAAGTACCGGAGTAGCGGTGGGCGTAGGGTTTGTGATGCTTATCTGGGGGTGACCAGTCTGCAGGGTGCCGGGCTGGGGCGGGGAAACTGTGTCTGTTGGCTGCTTCTGGGATGGGCTTCTTGTCACGACCTGGGGTTGGTCTCCGACGGACGCCTGCTCGGTTGTGCCATCACCATGGCTGGGCTTGTCGGCGAGACCTGAACCTAATGTGTCGTTTCCCGTCTTCTCATCAAGTGGGTCTTTCGAGTCAGTGTTGCTCGATTCCGCAACAGTGGGTTCCTGTTTCTTGATGGGTGTCGACTGGGAAGTGCGTCCAGCGGGCACCTTCTGGGCCTGCTTGACATTCTCCAAAGGTGTAGCATCGTCGGTTGCGCGGGACTCCTTGGGTGCAAAGCAGGGCAGACAAGACAACAGGCCACCAGACTTCTTGGTCTTGCTCCGTGTTGATGCTGGACGGTTGGCCGTGGCAGGCATTGGGGGCACTTGCTCGTTTTTCTCGGAGGGGGCAGCGCGCGGGTGGGAGCGCTTGCTGCTCGCCGTGCTGCCTGCGCGTCGTTTGCCCATGAAGCTTCGTTTGGAATGCTTGGAGCCTCGCCCAATGCTCTCAGCGTCTGCTGCGGTTGCGCCGCTGAGGCCGGTGTTGGGAGTCTCGTTGGACTGCGAACCGGATCGCGGGACGTTCAAGAGGGAACGCTTCTGGGTCGAGTCACCTTCAGCAGCTGCAGTCGAGGGGCCTTGCGACGAGGATTGGCCTGGAGCGAAGGAGTTGGTGGCAATGGCGCTTTGCATGGCAGCTGCAGCGTGTTAGTAATCAAGTATTCGAGGACGTCAATGTGGTGGTAAGCGACAAACATACCGGTGCCGTTGGCGTGCTCCGACGGCCCTACTGCCTTCTCGCTAGACATGCGGGTTGCATCAGCAGAGAGCTGCGTGGGCTCGGTGCTCATGGCTGCGCGTCGAGTATGTCAGACAGGCAGCGCGCAGGTGTCGAGGGCGTAGTGATAGGCTCGAGGCGGGACTGAGGGCGCCCTGGGTCGTCGCGTGGTGGAACTCGCTCGTGGGTGGGAGCGGTGGCTGGCAGACTGGCTGGCAATGGCGTGACCCGGTCGCGATTGCTCAGATTGATGCGCGAGATGGAAGGAGCGGTCGCCGGTTCTCGCAGCTGGGGCAGTCGCTATCGTCGAGGGAGTCCGAGGGAAGGAGCGAGGGCGACGGGGAGCGAAGCTTGGATGCGCTGCTTGGGATGAGGCTGGTTCGCTAACGCGGACGGAAATGAGACGCCGTCTTTCACCGTCATCAGCGCCAAAGCTCCACAACAACTGCCAGTTCACTGCAGCGGCACGGTTTTCTCACTCTGTCTTGACGCGACTGCGCCTGTGTTTGCGATGCGGCTCTGCTGCTGCTCGATGAATACAATGCGCTCACTGCGACAGTCGTCTGGATAGCAGTATCGGGGCTGTGCAAGACGGCACACTCGAGCGTGACAGGGGCCCTCTTTATGGGGGACCCCCAATAACCACACCTCGCCCCTAGCTCCAATCGCCCTAGCAGCAAGCATGGCCAGGCCCATATACAATACCTACACTCCACGCTGCACATCTCCAAGGGCAGGACTATTCATCATTCATCTATCCAATCACGCCCGCGACCCCATCGCGGACGCGGCGTGTCACACAGGGAAATGACAGCCAAGCATCTTGCCCCAGGGCACATTAGCCATAGTCCGCAGCCAACACCTCCATTCTCGATTGTCTCTAGGCCCGAGAGAAATACGCTTTCGGGCCCTGCATAATCTCGTCTTCGCGAACCTTCAAGAGCGACCCATTCCCAGACCAGGCGACCGTTCGTGCGGCCGCATTTGCAGTTGACTCACGGTTAGGCGCCATCTTGCCATGGTACGGGGAAGCGACGTCGCGCCAACCTATCACAACTCACATCAGCCGTAAGACCCGATGCGCTTCTGCCGCCAGATGCTGGTCCAATATTGGTGCACCGGCATTATCCTTCCAGCGACGCGCAGCCCTTACCAGCCGACTCTCAACACACTCGTCATGTTCCTCGTCGTCGCAGACACTGCAGCGCTGGAGTCGTTGTTCTTGCTGTCACATGTCAGAGCCTGTCGTGTTCCACAGTGGCAAGCGCTGTGCAGGACGGCCCGTCGCCGTGCCGATCTTGCAGTTTCATGCGATGGGCATCCATGTCCGCAGAGGTCACGAGGTCACGAGGCCGACGTCAATGGTTTGCGTCTGCACGCTATCCGCTTCCCCCGCTGTGGTGGTGTGCAATATGCCTCGACGCAAGAGGCTCCCCGCAATGCGCGCCCACGCCGAACGACGCGGGTGAGGCGATCTACGCTCACAAGATCCGGAGAATACGAGCGGAGGATCAACCGACCGTTGAACGCTAATCTGTCTCTCGTACTTGAGACACGCCCCAGTCGCACAGGCAAGTGGTCAGAGTACACGTTTTCGTCACTGTACGACAGTTCTCGAAGTGCGTCCTAAATAGCGGCGTCGTTCCTGATCTCTCACATAGCGCACAAGGTCGGCATACGCGTGACCGGTCAGTATGCTCCCGCAAAGATGTCAAGCCTTCTCCCTATCGAGAAGGTCGACTTTGATTTCTTACAATTCTCCATTGTCATTTTCTCTGCTTCAGCTGCCTGAGGCACTGGCAGACGTTGTCTGTATCATTTGCTGTACGTTCTGTACTCTGGCTCGCCGTCGGGGCTGGTGGTCATGTCGCTCGTCGCTATGGCAGAAGCTTCTGTCACGTCATTCCTCTGGCTGAGCATGACCTCCAGTATAACTCGGTCGTTGTCCGGTGTAGGATAGAACCGGATAGAGATGCATGCGACTTCGGTGGTGTGCATAGGCTTCAGCACAGCTTCCCAGGAGCCCTATGTCGGTATCGGCATCCGATGATATATGCGTCTGGACATTGTTTCGCATGGTCGAACCCACGACTGTGAGTATGCTTTGGGCAGCTTCACATAGCGGACGCATCGACTCCATATAGCTTCCGCAGCAGACCAACTCAGTCTAGCGGTTTCCAGAAGAAGCTCTAGCGACGGCAGCCAGCAACGCTATGCTTTCGCGCACCAATCACGACTATTTTGTTTTCTGTTTTAGCTATTTGGGAAGACGATTGTCTCCATCTCAACCCAAAAGAGCTTCGGAGTTTTGGGGATCGGAGCCAAAACATCTGCCCATTGGTGTTTCGGAAGGAAAAGTGGGCATGGCGGCTGTTTCTGCATAGCGCACGTTGCTGATCTTGTGTTGCTTGTTCGGCTCAGCATCTCTAGTCCCAACTGCATGATCGTTACAAGATCTGTCATAAGCAATAGAGCATCTTGGCAAAGACCATGGGCGAGAGATCAGAGACCTCCTTTGATTGACTTTTGACAGGAGTAGCTACACATACATCGGGTTCAATGCTCTCTTGTCCAGACGGAAAGACTGGTCCCAAGTATTGAAGACATTATAGCCGATCAACACGTTGTAACATCTCTCTTTGGAATGCGCACAGCCTCGCTATTCGTATACAGCTTGGATCGGATAGGACATTGAGCCTCAAGCTTTCGGCGATCACGACGGCGAGGCGAAAAACGTGGAGTGTGGGTCGGAGCTCCGCATCTCACGTATGCGGCGTGGTAGTACAGTCTACGGGTCTTCTCGAGCGCAAAAGCAAGCACTACTGACGCCTCGAAGTCGGTACTCGCCCAACAGCCACACCGAAACAGCCGTCTTGCTTATGTCGACCAAAGTCAACTACGACTTGTGTCGTGAACTCACCCTGACAGTGACACGTCCGTGAGAATGTACTCCTAAAGATGACACCCGGCGGGGAGACTAGACGGCAGGCCAGTTTCGACGTATATGCAGGGAAAAAGCAGAGCATGAGTGATGCGAGGCAAGGTGTTTAAGATACATACGACAGCCATGCATTACTGAGATGGTTGATGCTGTGTGAGCTGAGCTGCCCAACTTCCACTCCTTTCCGTGATTGATTCACGTCGCCAGTTTCTCTCGACTATGGCGCTGGCTACTAATCTTCAACCGCTGGCTTATGCCGTGGCCTACGTTACCTTCTTTCTGGGCACCACCTCGACCTTTCTGAGGTTTTACAGTCGTTACGTCGATGAGAGTCTGAGGAAATGGAGGCGGGATGACTACTTCGCTGTGGTGGTTTTCATCTTCAGTGTCGCTCAGCAGGGTGTCTTGCATATGTTCCTCTACTGGGGATGCGGGCTGTAAGTACCGAATAGTTACCTTTTGTGGAGAAGACAGGACTAACCGTTACGCGCAGACATATGGACGCTCTTAATACCTTCCAACAACTGGAAATTGTCAAGGTATGCACCAAAGCAAGAGACATACTAGCCAGGACATCTTTACTGACCAAACACCTCAGTGGCTCTTTGTCGAGGAGATAGTCTACTACTCCGTACATTGGGTTATGAAATCGGCCTTTCTCTTCTTTTACCTCCGGCTTGCGCGCGAGAGTGCCGAGTTTAGCTATGCTGTCTACGCTGGCCTTGGTCTCAACACAATCGTGTGGGGATGCAACATGTATGTCCTCATGTTTCCTCACTCTCAATACCATGGAACTGACATCTGAGACTAGGCTTCTAGCTTGCATTCAATGCATGCCCTTTGATGAGATCCTACACCCTGGCACCCATCCCGATGCCTACTGCATGAACAAACTCATCGTCCTCCTGGTGCCATGTCTTTTGGTAAGCACAAACCATAGTCCATCACCCCGCAGACCACCCAACTAACCTTGACCCCCAACAGAACATTGGCCTAGACATGTACATCCTCCTTCTCCCCATCGCCATGCTCTGGAACTGCCAAATCAGCTTCCGCAAAAAGATCGCCGTCCTCAGCGTCCTCACCTTCGGCAGCATATCCGTCATCATCGCCACCTTCCGCCTCATTCCACTCCTCGAATTGGGATCTCAATCTGACGAACCCATTGACACATCCTGGGTTCTCGGCAAAATGATCATAATCGCCGCCCTCGAAACGCAATTCGCCATTGTCGCCGTCAACCTCCCTTCTCTCAAGAAACTCTGCACCAACTTCACCGGCGAAGAGAGTCTCGTTGAGGAACCGCAAAACTTGAGGTGGAAAGCGAAGAAATTGACTTCGCAATGCAGCGACGACTCTGACGACGACGAATTCTACGTCTCGGGTGGAAACGGACGCGGATACCATTGGCGCAAGAGCAAGGCTAGCTCGCATACCAGTTTCCGGACAAGCATCGCACCCAGTTTTGCCACGGATGAGGAATCGCTTCAGGCTAGTGTTGCTGTTGCGCTTCCGGTGCTGTGGGTCAAGAGTAATGTTCAGACGGTGAGGGTGGGTAGGGGACATGTGAGCAGAGGGCATGTGGTTAGGAGTCTGGTTAGATGTAGTATGGAGAGGGTCGAGGATTGCTTCCCCAGGGGACACTTTCTGAGGACGTATGGCAGGCCGGAGTCGAGGCGGCCAGAGAGTAGATTGCCGACTTGTATGGAAATATGATGTTTGTTACGATTGGATTGGAATGATGCTGTTTACTAGAGATTATGTGTAAACGACGGCATCGGCGTGTTACCTTCCCAGTATCATATATGGGATCTTGATGTTTAGCATATCAGGTATCGGTACCACCCCGAAAGGATATAAGGCTTTTACTACTATTTCTACTTCTCTTACCTGCTCCCACCCTCGCTCTTCTATCACTACACGTATACTGAAATTCTCCGCCCTCTCATCTAGAATATAACCAGAACTCGTGGCCCAGTGGTAAGGCGCTCGCATCATATCTGTGATTCCAGCTCAGCAAGGTGCACCTTGACTAAGGCGGTGGCCGCAGGTAACTGTGGTACCGTCTAATGGGTGGATGAGAGCACTCTTACTCGACGGTAACGACGTAGTGAAGAGGTTGGTGTTGGACACATCCGCTGGTAACAGTGTGATAGTGGTTCTGCGACTGCGAGAGACGTCTGTTCGAATCAGACCGAGTTCATTTTTTTGGTTATACTAGATAGATGGAGGAATGATAGGTAAGAGGGGTGATGGGGCTGTGCGGGTGTAGGTGAGGTTGTTATAGGGTTTTGAACGGAATGAGAAGGAATGACTAGAAGCGTCGCTAGGAAGAGGGATGCTTATATGCACCTTAGCTGCATCAAATTCATTTTAGTCTTCCCCATGTTTTGAGCCGCTGCGTCCCTAGTTGTCTTCTCGCGCGACCTCTTGATACCTATCTCAACGACCCTCCTACTTCCTGATAGGCTGCTTCTTGGGTGAAACACACCGTGACCCCACTGGATCAAGATGACTAACCGCACCCCTTCTACCATGACTGCAGGCGGAACTGGGAGCTTGCTGAGGACTCAGATCCGCTACATGCTGACCTGAGCTATCGCTAGAAGCTTCTCGAGAAAAGCCGAAATCGAAAGGATCCGGTAACTCCTGCGCATCATCGTCGTATCTATTGGGGCTTTCGGGAAGCAACGGCTGCGGCCCCGAGCGAGGAGGTTCGAGAGGCGAGACTGGTGACCATGGGTCGATTTGTTGTGGCGATGTTGGCGAATCAAAGTTGCTGGCTGATGGCAGTGGTGGAAGTGGCATGGGCTCGTTGTCAGGTGAGGGCGTCATCAAGTCTCTTGCGAGAACGAGCGCTTCGAAGAACCAAAGAGCACCGTAAGATGTCAGCGCAGCTCTATATACGTGAAAAGTTGTACTTACCACTCGATTGTACCCATGACAAGTTTCGCGACCCATAGTTTGAATAGATACTCTTTGTCGGCTTGTCGGTACCAACCTAGAAAGCACATGAGAAGAAGGTCGACTAACCAGAGTACGCCCATTAAGACGTGAGTCGCAAGATCGATCTTTACGTTGTAAATGCTTGGATACGCGACTCGGAATATGATGGAGCCGATGCAGACTGTCATTGTTAAGGTAGCCTCGTGGCAGGGTTAGCTGTGTATGTGGAATTGAACATTGAGACATACTAAGCCCATCGAGAAGAACAGGACGTCTTCTGGAAGGGACGGGTACAGCCAGGCGCTGAGACAGAGAACAGCGATCGCAAATGGGATCCGCGCTGTGTGCAAAACAACTGACTCTGTCCATCCAGCCTGAGGTCCCAGCTGAAAGTATGCTAGTATATTGCTCATGCTGGTCGAAGCGAGGAGAAGAGTTGGTGATGAAGCTCGAAGGAGACGCCTGTTAACGAGAATGCGATAATGCTGTTGTGAAAGATAGAGATGATAACGGTGAGTATAGCATTTTTGTACCAAACACTGTCACGGCTGCCAGACAAGACTCACATTTGTCTCAGACACTTCGAATACATGACCCTAAGCCTGGCCGATCTAATTTCCCAAATTGCTATCAAAGACAGCTGTGTTAAGACACCAGAGACACGGAGCTTCCACAATCCGATCTACATGAACTCGAAACGTTGCATAACTCTTGATCATTGTAGTTGAAAGCCTGCTTGTGCATTTAACTCTTCTTGAGGCATCTCTCCAGACCAGATCCCATAGCCTAGAATGTTGGCCATCGGCCTAGGTTGCGCGCCTGCCGTACGTGATATTCTATCTCTAAATAGCGTTCCATACGAAAAGTCCGGCCCTGAAGGTCAACAACAAGAGCCAGAAGATGTTGCAAGCCCAAGAAGACTGCGATAAGACCAACGTATAGGATGAGGACAGACACGAAGAAGCAGAAGAATGCAACTGCTGCCAGGAAAGCGATGAGCATTTCCGCGTCGACCTTGACTAAATCGCGCAGCATTGGTAGTCGGTTTGTAGGAACTGAGGGCTCTCCGTTGGGTTCTGTCGTAAGTCTCGATCGGAGATTAAGCGGGGAGATGATGTGTAGCGAGAAATCTGTATCAATAACCCCCAGAGTCATATATGTTCAGTCCTTTGTTTGCTGCAAAACAAGCGCGCGCAAGTGCAGTCAACACCTGTTGCATGTGGAACGTCACAGAATAGCCTTCAATGGCGTAACAACTGTGATTGCGATCTCCTTTGAGACGCGTCGCGAACGCCGTAGCTGCCAAGCCGTGACGACTCGCTGCTCGGAAGAACTGGTGGGATTCGCGATCTAGAATCACTTGAATGTGATGGCATGGCAGTAGAATGAGGAGTAAAGAGTATGCTATCGTTTCACTCAACTTCCCTAGATGTGCCCGCCTCGTTGCGCCACGCGCTAGTGGCGTGTCTAGCTCACGCACAGACTCCTCCACCTCCTTTCCCGGACTGGTGTCTTCGGATCTGTTCTTCCCATCACCAAAAGGACGCGCCGCGCACTAGTGACGAGGCTTCGACAACAAATCTTATCCAAACAACCGTCTGGTCAACGTCAAAGTCAAAGTGCAAGTCGTGCCGCGGCGGACGCGCCGCCCCACGCTTCCCGTCCTTGGCTTGACCAATGGCATCGCAGAACGTCCTCCCTAAGGTGACAAGCTCAACCACAAGCAAGCATGTGGATATAAACGCGTCCCAATGGTTTCATCGTCCTGGGTATTCACAGAAAACTACGGAATGAGCGGTAGGTAGCGTGGCTGCTTAGTCCTCCGCATTAGGAAGTCCAGACTTGGATCGCGTGTGATGAAGCAAACGATGGCGTCCGCGGTACACTACGAACTATGAGGATGAGTCGGTTGTGTCGTTCCTATATGTAGGTGGAAATACGCCTGATTAGGATTGCCGCGAGACGGTTCTGCGGTTCTCCTCCCACATCATTCTTTTCCAACAGTCACTCGTTTTCAACATGCTTACTTTCTCTTCTTTCTTTGTTGCTGTGCTGCTAGGCGCCATCGGCAGCAATGCTGCGCCACTCATCCAGGAGCGAGGTATGTTGGTAGTGCGACATCTCTGTCGTTGCGTAGCTGACGGGTGACAGGTATCGCACCAAACCTTCTGGGCAACTTCAAGTTGATGGAGCAGTATGCGTCGGCAGCATATTGCTCAAACAACTATGACTCCACCGGAGATCAGATTGAGTGCTCCACTGGCAACTGCCCGCTCGTTCAAGACGCAGACTCTACCACCGTCATCGAATACAGCCGGTGAGTCTAATCCCAGGCCCCGCAGACGTCAAGTTTCAGCAGGTGTTGAATGGCCATGAACGATCCAGAAGCTAACAGCATACAGAGAGAATGCGATGACCGATGTGACGGGCTTTGTCGCAGTCGATCATACGAATAAACTCGTAGTTGTCTCCTTCCGCGGCACTCACACCATTGAAGACTGGCGTACGAACCTCGACTTCGGCACCACTACAACAGATATCTGCCCAGGCTGCACTGCCCACCGCGGCTTTTGGCAGTCCTGGCTTGATGCGCGCGATAGTGTCTTACCCGCCGTGCAACAAGCAACAACCGCCTTCCCTAGCTACAGGATCACCGTAACAGGCCACAGTCTGGGAGGCGCCGTCGCTACACTCGCCGCCGCCAGTATGCGCACTGCTGGCTACAATGTCGCGTTGTACAATTTCGGATCACCCAGGATAGGAGGAAGCAAGATTAGCTCCTACATCAGCAACCAGCGTGGTGGCAACTTCCGCGTCACGCACTGGAACGACCCCGTTCCTAAGATGCCGTTGTTGACCATGGGATATGTTCACATCAGTCCTGAGTACTACATCAACAAGCCGAGTAGACAGCCGGTATCGGCTGGCGACATCCAGACCTTCGCTGGTGCTGCCAATCTTTTCCAGGGAAACCAGGCCTGGTTAATCATGGATGTCGAAGCCCATCGGTGGTATTTCGACATGGTGTACACCTGCGGAGCGAAGAAGTCGAAGCGTGGAGCTTTGGAGATGAGGGGCGTCGAGGGCAATATGGAGGTGGTGACTACGTTCTGATACCCCGGATAATTACAGGTGTCTTCTTCAACGTCCGGTATAATGTATATTATGTCTAATGCTCGATTCCTGTCCAACCTCCCCTTCCTACAAAATCTTCAACTCCTTCATCGCTTTCAACATCTCGTGCTAACCTTCCGGTAACAACGCTCCGCTCATGGTCTCGACCGCGTACGAGGAACGAGTTGAAGCCTCCAGTCCATTTCCCCCTTCCTCTGCCGGAGGCATCCGGACTAAACCCGCTACTCTGCCGATCGAGTTGGAGAAACCACCGCCGTTGGTGTACCGACCCAATATCGTTCGTCGAGCCCGGATATGCATTGGTGGTTCGTGTTTGATCATCCTCTTCTGTGTCGGTGTCAAGATTTTGATCCGCTACTTCATCGTGTACGGATGCGTCCGCGATGCTAGCTTCGTCACTTGAGGTCGCGGGGGTTCGTGTTGCAGAGCTACGCTGGGATCGTCTCCTTCTCCGTCTCACTATCAGCTTTTTGATTATCTCATTCGATGGGAGGCGTAATATGACCGTGTAATTGTGTGGCAATCGTGTGCCGTGTAGACGTAGGCGTATGTATAGAGTCTTAAAAGCTGCTACCAGCTTTGAGCTCTCCTGGCACTGTCCGTCTGCAACCTCGCTACCCTCATTTGCCGCTTCATCGTCTTCTGTTTCGTCATCATCCGTAGTCTGTGGACTTGGCATCCCGTTCTTTCTCTTCCTGGGCAAGATACTATAAGTGCCGGTATCCCATATAATCAGGCTTCCAGTCTTTTTGCTGGCACTCTCGATCAGGTGGTTCCAGTAGTTGTGTACTCTAGTTTCGATCGCCATTCTGCCTATGCTCCGCGAGTTGGGGTCACCAGGAAGTCCTTTTGGAAGGGCGAAGGACATCGAGCTCGTTTCTGAGAACTGAAGACGGAGGTCATAATGTACTCCCGCAATCGGATGGTTGTGTTGATGAACGACAAAGTGGTGACCATAAGGGTTGGCGTTAGACTGGTAGAGAGTGGCAAAATCATCGATTGAGAGTCTTGGTACATCAAGTGCTGTGTTCCTAGAGCTTCTCACCAGGTGGTTTCTGAAGTAAGTAAGGTGATCATCAATCTTGACCTTGCCGGCTTCTACTGCTGCTAGCGCGGGTAAAGGCTTTGCGAAAGTTGGCGTTGCATCTAAATGCGCATTTGGTTTTGAATTTGGGCTCCTGATGTCTGCCTCAGACGTTCTTCGTCGCTTTGAAGGCCGCGGTGGCGATATGTCGCGTGCGAGACTTGCCGGTAAGCCCATTGCGAGTCTGGCGCAGTTGACAGCTCGCTGTCACCTATAATCAGGCTTAGGAAAAGCACGAATCCCACACGTTCATTCTTCGCCCGGTCGTACTCCTCAACATTGTAGGCGATGAGGTTGGCGTTCGTTTTGTGACTGCGATGCGCGTTGTAATCGCAAAACGCCGCGACGAGGCGATGACGTCACTTACCCGCGACATCCAACTCTAGACAACACGAGCATTCGAAGTGATGTTAATAATCGTACGCGCAATCGAAGAGGCAGACGTCGGGATGCCGAAAGCGAAAGATCCGGATCGTGACGAGAAGCATACACGCGTGTGCGAGGTGTGGGGTCCCCGCAACAGCCGAGGTCTGTCATTGGCTGTCGGCAAACTTCCTTCTTCCTGCTCGGCAGACCTGCCCAAACAACGACCATACCTCAACGTCAACGCGCGAACACAGGCACGAAGAGGTTAGACGGCACCCATACTCCGGACACGATGAGGTTGAACGGGAGACGCAGGCTCCACCGATGGGGATCTGGTCGTTCTGGGGTGTGGATCAGTGGATCAGCGGAGGAGATGGCGTAAAGTCAAAGGTATAAGTATCCCTATTGCTCTATCCGATGCTGGTCGCGATTCTGGACTCCCCTCATCATATCCTGTTGTATCTTCGAATTATTTAAAGCTACTTCATAATGTCTTTCGATACGGAGGTTCTCATCATAGGTGCGGGCATGAGCGGCCTGGGCCTCGCTGTCCAAATCATACGCAAGTACGGTCTTCGTAACTTTGAGCTCATTGAGAAGAGCGACGATGTCGGTGGCACTTGGTTGGCAAACACATATCCAGGCTGTGGATGCGATGTAAGTTGTTCCGCGTCCAAACAGCTATCGGTGCCGAAAATTATGCTAAGCTGACTAGGTTGCCTCACACTTCTACTCCTACAGCTTCGCGCTGAACCCAGATTGGTCGAGAAAATACTCCATGCGTCCTGAGATTCAGGCCTACTTCCGCTCTGTGGCCGAGCAGTACAAGATCGTGGATCACGTCCGCTTCCATTCCATAGTGGAGAAAGCAGCTTGGAACGATCTCGACAACGTCTGGGAGGTATCTATCTTGAACCTTCACACCAAAGAACGGACGACGCGTCGAGCGAAGATACTTGTCTCGGGTGTGGGCTCACTCTCAGTGCCTAAGCAGTGCGATCTTCCCGGAGTGGAGACGTACCAGGGCAAACTGTTTCATTCTGCGCAGTGGGACCACAGTTTCGATTGGAAGGACAAAGATGTCGTCGTACTTGGTATGTCTATGTATATTGGCTCGTCAGTTATGTGCTTACAAAGCCCCAGGCAATGGCTGCTCAGCAACTCAATTTGTTCCTATCATGGCCAACGAGCCCAACCCCGTGCGTAAACTCACACAGTTCGGACGACAAGCGCAATACCTTGCAGAGCGCCAGAACCCGTACTATTCGAATACCTTCAAAGCCGTGATGCGCTACGTACCACTAGCAATGCGCCTCTACCGTGCGAAATTCTACTACGACATGGAGCGCGACTGGAGTGGTTTTGACATTGAGACCGGGCGCAGCATCCGCCAAAACCTGGCCAAGGAGAATGAAGCATACGTAAAGAGCATGGCGCCGCCGAAGTATTGGAGCGCGCTCATTCCAAAGACCGAAATCGGGTGCAAGCGGAAGGTGTTGGACACAGACTATCTGAAGACCCTATGGAGAGATAACATTGAGCTGGTTGCCGACGATCCAGTGGAAAGAATCACCGATGATGGCGTGGTAACAAAGAGCGGTCGCGAGGTGAAGGCAGATGCCATCGTGCTTGCCACCGGCTTTGCAACACAGCAGATGCTTTGTCCGATGGAGATTGCTGGGCGTGACGGACTGCGACTGAACGAATACGTGAGTTTACCACAAATTGCCGCATGAGACCTATATACTGATGCATATCGTAGTGGGATAAAACCTCACAAGGCGTCGCGCAAGCTTACTTCGGTACGGTGGTCCCGCAATTCCCGAACTTCTTCATCCTTATGGGGCCAAATACCGTCACCGGCCATCTCAGTGTCATCTACACTGTCGAGTGCCAGATCAACTTCACTCTCCGGCTGCTAGAGCCCATCTTCAAGTCACTGCCATCATATCGGTCGCAATCATTCATTCCTCAAATGCTTTCACCACCACCGGCGACCGTAGAGGTCAAGCCGGAGGCTGCGGTCGCGGACTCGCAATGGACACAAAAAGCAGCAAGCAAGCTGGTCTGGAACTCAGGTTGTGTAAATTGGGCTGTAGATCCGAAGACAGGTCTTAATAATAGTAAGTGGGGAGGGTGGACGTTGGTGTGAGTCCGTGCGCTAACGCTGTCAGTGATGTACCCTGACTGGCAATTCCTCTATTGGCTCAGAAGCATCTTTTGGAAGAAGGGTGACTTCGTTTATCGGAACGAAAAGACGCGCGAAGAATTTCGACCGGGTACTACCAAAACTATCCTCTGGCTGGCTACTGCAGGAGCACTTGCTGGCGGTGCCTTTTTCAGACGGGATTGGATCCAAGATGAACTGCCTCACCGGCTAAGGAACCTCGACGCGAGGACATTGGTACAGAGCCTGAAAGCCTGAAAAATGACCAGATGAGGGGGTGAGTCAGCGCATGCCTGGATGGGACGCCAGTATCATTATCTAGGTCACCCACACCTCCAGGCAACAACATCGTCCGACCAAGGCAAGTAGGATGCTCATGAGACGGAATAGATGATCCTTTTTCTACCAATGGTACTAAGTGGTGCGATTCGTCTCTTGCTACGGAGCGTTTCGCCGCCATCAATGACGTCGCGCGCACGAAATGGTCGTCTCTCCAGCAACAAGCAACACTGCACCCTTGTTTCCACGGTCGCAGCCTTCAGAGCCGTCCCCGTGTCGCCTTAATAAGCTCAAGTCTATTGTTCAGCTGTCCTGCACGAACAATACCAGCAGAGTGAGGGAGGCGGGATATCTCACTTCCGGGTGTCCCTTCACCTTCACTTCACCAAATCGTCTCCCAGCCCCCTCAATTCCAGCTTTTCAAGCCCACAACCTTTTCGCTAATATTAATCGCATACTGAGAGTACCTTGGACTGCAAACTCTTCAGCTCTTTACACGATTATCCACTTCCAAATCGTCCCCAACAAGCTCGCCTTGATCATCTCATACCTTCTTACTTTACATTTCACAACCCAAGATACCCCCTGAGATGTCTTCAAAGACTCTCCTCCCAGATTTCGCAGTGGCGGTCAGCCAAATGGCTGTTCAAGCTGCAGCCACAGCCTACCCGACCGACTACATCGTCGAGCACATCCTCAAGCTCAGTAACTACCTCATCAACCTTGCGGGAACCTGCAACCTCTTTGGCAAGCCCGAACTCGACATCTACAGCCCCAGTCTCAGCACTCTGTTCGACCGTCTGCAGAAGAAGCAGGTCGGCCCAAGCCTGTTGCCTCACGGCTTTCTCACTGCCGAGCGCATTCACGGACGCATCTACGGGCGTGCGGACGAAGAGGCCACCGACCGCCCTCTCGCCGACTACGAGGACATATACTATGCGCTCGTCGCACGCATGCAGGAGATGCATCAGTTGTTGAACCTCCGCATCGACAGTGGCTTCAACGTTGCGTCTGAGGACATCTCTGAAGGCGGCCCCAGCATCGCCGAGCTTCACAACAGTCTGTCTGAGTACTGGAACGTCCTAAACAACCCATCATGCGGCAAAGCGCTCGACGATGCGATCCGCGAAGCAAGGCTCGAGTCGCTCCGGCACGAATTAGTTCACCAAGTCAGGGAAAAGAACATGAAAGCAGAGGAGGCGCATGAGCAGTTGTCGCAGCTCTACAGCTCTGATGTCTACAACGGAATCCTCGGGCTGAACTTTGTCCAGGACTGGGCGCCGCCCATGATCGGTGCTTACTTGGAGTCGAAGTACCGCCGCATGCTCGACTTGGAGAAAGAAGAAGCTGTCGTCAAGGCCAGGCTGTCGCGCCGCCAAGCCAAGATGAAGACGCTGCGCGAGGCCCTCGCCGCCAAGTCCGCTGAAGAGAAGCTCATTGCCCGACGTCATGCCCGCAACAACGCACGCAGGGCTGCTCCCATATGCGACGTCGACTACGAAGTCAGCCGCCCCACCAAAGCCACACCCGTCGGATCCGAAGACGCCACCAAGCCCACCGGCGCCGAGCCCAACACCAACAACATGTACCACTTCACAGGCAAAGCATCGATGCAGCACTCCCCCGAACACCAAGCCCAGATCCACCCCGGTCACCACTACGAAGAGCACACGGCCGCCTACTACAACCAACCCATTGAGGATATCATTGCTCACCAGGAGATGCTCAAGGCAGCTGCTCAGTGGCAGATCAAGGAACAGCGCGTGTCAGAGTACAGCGAGTACCTCCGCGCTCGCGCTAGCCAGGGTTCTCAGCACAGGGTTGAGGCTAGTCAGAGCTCCGTGTCGTCGGGCAGTTCTTTCGGTCCTCCTCCTCCTGGTTATGTTCGCGGCCCTTTTCATCACCCGGATATGGATTACAGTCAGTATGAGAAGTTTTGAGGTTGGACTACGTGATAGGATTGGCGGTTAGCATACATGGATTGATGAAGCTGTCGACGGATAGGCAGGGCAGTGGATGCTTGAATAGATGGATTGATCAGTGAGGGCTATACCTAAGTGGTGCCACACGAGAGATTATACGTATAGAGACAAATAGTGGCAGCTGGAACTATTGGTCTTCGACGCTCACGTCGTTGCGATTCCTTGCTTGCTCAGATAAACAATTGAAACACTTTACTCTTGAAGCTCCAACTTGACTTCCTGTTTTCAGAAGATGTAGTCCGGATCCACCTCGATGATCATGTTCTCGCCGTAACCACCTGGTCTTGGTGCTGTGAAGTCTTTGATATGCCAGAGTTCCTCGTTTAGAAGCTCGAATTCTCCTGGTCGCTGCTCTTGACAGTCGTAAATATTGAGAGCCTGCTTTAGTATTAGCATACAGATATCATCAGTCAGCAAGCATACAGAGCGACGTACCTGCAACCCATCCAACCTCCCCACCACCTCTCTCGCCTCATCCCCCAGCAAACCCCCACACTCCGCTACATCCAACATCTTCAACTTCGTCCTCCCCTCCCACTCGCCCATGGAAGTCCACATCTCCCTCCCCAGATACCGACACCGATTCAACCCCAGCTCCTCACACCCCCTACTCTCTTTCAACAGCACAGCCAACTGCTCAGCCCTCAGATCACAATTCTCCAACCTCACCACCGTGAGTCTCCCACTCCATTCAGCCGCACTCTCAGCAAGCACATCCCAAGCCTTACCCTGCTCTTCTCGTTCGATAGCGATACGCGACCGCGGGATGCCGCGTACGTACCTTACCCCGCTTTCGATTCTGAGTGAAAAGGTGCGGAGAGCGCGGAGGGAGGTGATAGCTTTCGCCATGGGCAACGTTAATGCCCAAACACTGATGTTGAGATGCTGCAGCATGGTGCCATGGCGTTTTAGTATACTGGTCACCAACGCGCTCTGGAAGTTGTGCAACGTCAGGTACTCGTAACTTCTTGCCTGGGGGATGCGCAGCCAGATTTCATAGGGATTGGCTGTACTGGTGGTGACGGACGGGTCAAGGTGCTTGAAAAAGGCAGGAGCGAGGGGCGCGATTCCCAAGGAGAGGGTGTGCAGGTTGGCGTTGGCGAGGATGCGGGCGTGACGCGAAGTTTCTGAGAAGCGGAGCAGAGAGGATGTGGGTAGGGGGGTGAGTATGTGGTTGAGGATCTCTGTGGGGAGGTCAAGGAGGTGGGGGGTTGACATTGTTGGAGTTGTTTTGTCTGATACTGTGGGAGTCGAGGTAAAGTAAGGTCGACTGATTGAAGTTGAGGAGAATGATGCAACCCTTCAAGTCCAAGGCTGGGGCATAGATAAATCTTAGTAGCAGGCAGACATCTCGGTGCCATTGCTGTCAGCAGCGAAACTCTAAACCATATATACTTCCACGTCACGCATGTCTCACACAAGCGGCATCTTCCTCCTCTGCCTTCCTTCCTGCCCATCATCATCACAGCGCTTATTCTTTCTCGCCGAATGGTCCCTGTCACCTTGTTTGAAGCAAACGTTTGACCCCGGGAGGCCGCGTCGTGGCGTTTCGCACATCGATTGGACAAAGGCAACTGTGCCGCATGCTGCTGTGTAAGGCGCCCCCAAAACCAGCCTGATGGAATGCACGTCGGCTACCTAGGTAGGTAAGGGTAGCCCGTTTGGAACATCGTCAACCTTTCTAGTTATAGAGAGCGTGCAGTGCGAAGGATCTGGTTGCATATCTGTATATAGCCGCATGCGCGGGCGTTGGCGTTGAACTGGGGAATTCGTATCGAGTTCGTTGTTTGTCGTCACCAGGCATACGAATGTGATGGCGCGGGCTTTGCGGGCGGCGTGGTTGTATCACTGCAGCAGGATGATAATAGCGGTGTTATATTGATTGCATAGCAGCGCAAAAGTTCAGGGTGTCGCCGGTGCACTGTTGGTTAGTCGCTCGCCGAGATCGCGGGTATCCACATACAGCTTAGATCTACTCCATGTTGCGATTTGTGTTATAACTCTCCAATAAGAACTCAACTTGGCAAACCTCAGCGTTGTAAATGGCTCGAAATCCATGCATGTGGAGATGTTGATCAAAAGTGGAATAGCCTCGCTACATTGCTCTCATCTCGCAGTCTTGGAAGGCTATGATAAGAATCGCAACATGGAGTACATGATACTATCAATGTATTTCAGTACCACAGCTGGCATCTCCTATACCACCGCGTCCACCATCCTCCCCTCCACCTCCCCTCCACCTCCCCGCCGCCTCCCCCACCCACCCTGGCGTGGCTGTATCACTGCAGCAGGATCATAATAGTTGTGTTGTATTGATTGCATGGCAGCGCAAAGTTCGGGGTCGCCGGTGCATCGTTGGTCAGTCGCTCGCCGATGATCGCGCGCGGAGGATTGGGTGCCCAGGTAGGAGGATTCGGGGCCGGGGGGCGGCGGGTGATATCAGGAGCCGCGTCCGTATTCGTCGGTCGCTGCATGCAGACATGCACAAGATGCGGCGTTCTGCGAGGCTCGCGTAGTTCTGTTGCAGTAACGTAGGAGTTAGCCTGAGGTATTCGACAGCTGATGATAAGAATTGATCATGTGTGGGTCTTTTCCATTGCGTGGCTTGGAGCATGCTATGTAGCCGAGACGACTATATATACACCTTCCTGCGCATTGCATCCGCGGAGAGAGGCGATGAACCTGCAGCGTCAACGAGGGGTGCAGATGCACGAATTGCTCGTCAAGCTTGAGATGCAGACCTCAGCCCTCTCCGCCAGCACCACGCTCAAACACCCTTACGCTGCCGTCGCTCTTGACCTGATACAAGAACTCCTTGCCTCTCCCACTGTCGTCGCCATCCTTGTTAGCTTCAATGCCAAAGCCAACATCGAACCATTGTTTTCTCTGCTCAGTAATGCGTATTACACCGCTCACATCCCTCGCGACGCCAGTGTCTAATACCCTGACACCCAGTATCCTCCTGCTCATGTGTGCGCATTTGACAACCAGGTTATGATGCACTACTTCGAGCGGCTGTGGGGGTGTGGAGAGGCTGAGGAGCGGGTTGTCTGCTTGTAGGTGCGCGAGGATGTGGGATACGTTCGGTAGCGTGTGGAATTGCAGCATGAGGGTGGTGAAGTGGGAGGGTGTGATGGCTGGGTTCAGCGCGAGGAGGAGATCGGGGTTGTCGAAGATGAGGAGTGTCTTTCGGGCCGTGGACGTAGCGAGTGGGGAGATGGCGCTGGAGATGGTGGACTTGATGTCCGCGATCTCGAGACTCTTGAGTGTATAGTGACCTGGCGTGCTTTGGGTTGCACCCGCCGGGCCGTTCGGGGTACTCGTAGCTGGTGGTGAAGCTGGCGCTGCCGCTGGGGCTGCTGGAGGAGGCCCTCTCGCAGGTACTATCCGTCCAGGCGGTCCTCGCGCAGGCAATATCTGCGGCCCTCTCTGTGGTGTCGCGTTCGATACAGGGACTCGTGGTGTCGCTTGCGCATCAATTCGCGATGGCCTCTCCGCTGTACCGTCTGTCGCATTCCCACCAGCACCCAGTCCGTCCACAAAGGCAAAGCGTCCCTCTTTCCTCAGCTTGTCCAGATCAAGAGCTGCGCCCTTTCGAGCCTCTTGCTTCCAGAAGTCGTATTCTCTCATCCAAGAGACGAGGACGACGTTGTGCCCCTCGTCTCCGCCATCTTGTGTACTCAGCTCATTGCAGAGGAAGCGGATGAGCAGCCAGTTCGCGCTCGCGCCGAGGGTGCTCGTGAGCAGGAGGATCGAGTCGTGCGGTAGTTGGACGTAGGGTTGGAGGAGCGCCGGGATACGCGTCGAGGGTGGCATCGTGACGCGGATACCGAGTGGAAATTATGAGTTGCGCGTAGTGTGCAGCTTATCGATACCAGCCATCGTCGTCATCATGGCTCGTTTTTCTGGAAACGAGAGATCACCACCAATGTCCGAGAAGCCTACTTAAGTTTTCTATTTTCTACGTTTTTTTGTCATTTTCTCTACTTTCATGGCAAACAACCCCGCATACTCTTCCTTTCAGACATAACACGAACCCCATAACCCAGCCGGTCAGTCCATCGTAAGGTCGCCAGCCAGAAACACCCGCCCAACTTTTTTGCACCTGTGGCCTACGTCGTATCCTCCTCGGTCCGCTGTTAATGTTGCTTTGCCATCAAAACTGCCATCGTACTCTTCAACCATATTTTTTGGAAAGCTTCCTCGTACTCCTTGTCATCCTCATGTCTCCGCCACTCGGTCCATCGTTACAAACTGAAATCCAGGTCCAGCAGCTCCCCGTAACGCGTGATACCTGCTTCCGTCTCCACAACACCAATCTCTGTATCCACTTCTGCCAGCATGGAAGTTCCAGGGTGCTTCTTCGGTCGGGTTGCGATGTTCTGCTGGACGTCTAGCTGTCGGGTGGTCGCGCCGCCGGTCGCAATCTTCCCCAATTCGTTTGGGAAGAGCCACGGGAATGATATCAGAGGCATGTGCTCCGGTTCCATAGGTCGCACCGGAACGTCCCTACCACCAACTGTCTTCTTCGTACGGCATTCGACCAATGCAGTCTCCATCTCTTTCGCAGTCACCATATACATCGCGGCGACAAACTTCTCCAGGTTGTCTTCTGCAGCATCTCGGCATTCATTCTTGTACTGTGACTTGAATGCACCAATGGTCCTTCCGAATTCTTCAGCGAACTTGTAATCGCGGCTCTGACAGGGTGCATTGTCAGTATGTCTCTCATGCATCTCATACAGTCAGAACTTACCTCATGATTATGTACTAGCACAAAGACAGACCAGGCCTCGAACTCTGTCTGGATGCCATGCTTGGCCATGAGTCGCCGCAACGATTCATCATACGACGCCTTGAGTCCCGCTGCTTTGGCCAGAGTCTTATCGCCGAGCTCAAATGCCATCAGGATGCGCTTATCAAATGCGTTTTCCCACTGAGGCTACAGAGATGAAAAT